TTCTGGGGGTGCTTTTCGCCTGCGGGTTTCTTTCGTTCCGTGAGAACTCGGTTTGGTCGGGCTTTTTGGCTCTGGGGGCAGAGTTTTTCCCCATGGGCGAAAATTTCGAACGTTGCTGTTTGTAGCTATTTCAGCATCCCTTTTTCGTCGACCAGATTTGCTGTTGATCAAAGGTTTGCTGCAAGCTTTCGCCTTTCTGGATCCTTGGGCGTTTTGGCGCGGTTTAACCGGAAAAGTGTCTCTGTGAGGCCCTGAGCGCTGGGTGGTGGCACAAAGAAGTAATCATTTTGGTGGCGCTCCCAAGAGGCTCGTTTTCCTGGAGGATTGCGCCTTGAAGCCAGCCGGCAGTTTTCTCATATAGCGGGTTTTATATGGCTTTTCTGGCTGAAGTCGCTCCTCATCCGTGTTTGTGTGGACACCCGATTCGCCAGCGATCAGCGTGACCAACTGGATGTACGAGGGATTTTCCGGATGGCTGCAGTCTTGTTTATGGCTTTGAGTGTCGGGGTACTGGGCAACGGTTGTGTCCACAAGCAGAGAGGCTGCTTTTGACGAAGTGGAGCTGGAGATTGGCTCCGCTTCTTGTCCCCGCACATCTGCCTCAGTCCAGTTCAGAGGCTGTGATTTTGTCGAGGAGTGCACGGCTTCAGCTGTGCCCTCTGCTACGCAGATAAGCGTAGATAGCTCCACGTAGTTTGGGCGCTGCTTGCATGTGGGGTTTGCCTCCTCCAATGCGTCCCTGCCTTTGGTGGGCGAGAGGCCTGTGGTGGTGGAATAAAAGTCGGCTGAATTGGGGCTCGGTGGAAGCCTGTTACGTGCCTTCACCCCTGACCTGCTATGACTCAGCTTACGCGCGCCTAGAGGACGATCCTCAACTCCTGTACGTCAAACGGGGAAGAAAGAGTGACTAGAAGTCCAAGGATTCGCTTACTTCCCTTCTGGAGTAGCCATTATGCTTAGAGCGATTTATCAGGCTTCGTGAGAATCAGGATCGACTGTGCCAACTTCGCTGGCGTGATTTTTCCGGACAATGACCCCCAGATTATCAGTCTGTTTTCCCTTAGGCGCCTGTCCACTGGAGACGCTGCGGCGGTTTTTATAGCCGCGTCAAAAAGTTGTATGACTTTCTTCGCAGCCATGGGACCCGGTATGGACATCGCGAGATATTGGTTCAGCGACGATAGTTCCTTGTTGACTTTCGCCCAGGTCGCTGCATTCTTAGCGCCTGAGTCCTCCAATGCCTTCGAAAGACGTTCTAATTTCGCGTCGAGTATCCCGATTAAAGCGGAACACTCGCAGTGGTCTTTCGGCATCTGCACTGGGGATTGGGTACCGTTTCGGGGGACTCTTCTGTTCGCTGCGGTATGCATTGCACCCTTGACATAGAGGCAGCTGGCACAGACGAACGGGTCAGGAGAGTTGGCTAGTCGGCTTATTTGGTCGTCCTGTAAACCCGTGCATTTGAAATGCCACCAGGCCTTGCAGGCGCGGCATTGCATACCGCATTTGACGTTCGACGGGCAGCCATTTCGCCCACATCTATTGTGGTCTACCAATCTGATATGGGTCGCCTTTCACCGACGTGGAGCTCTGGTGCAGCAGGATGTACCCCCGAAAAGTTCACTGCTTTCTACTGGTTGTGGTTTGGCTGGATTTCGGCGCCTGAAGTTTCCCTACCATGCAGCAATGAAAGTTCTGCACGCCCTCGGAAGTTGATGGCAAAGGCTTGAAAACTAATGAAAAGGGGTACACCTTGCTCAGGTAGGTTGCAGTCAGGCAAACAAAGTTGGTAAATTTAGAATTAACGTAAGGACGGAGTGGTTTGAATACCGAGGGCAAATGGGGACGGAAAGGCAACATCGACAGCTGAAAGCGGTGTGCGGGTCTCTTAAACCTGTTATCAATCTTCCGGCAGCACTCAGTTGTTTGCATGAAAATCTATAACTTTATCGCCATAGATTTAGCGCATTCTGTTAGTTTCAAAGTGATGGTAGGGCAGCCCTGGAAGTTGTCGTTCCAAAGCACCCAGAAACGGGGGAAGAGGCATACGTAATTATTCGGCAGATTCCGTTTAGAACCTACACGTCACCCCCCGGATTCCCACTTAGTCAAAGTTGTCTGAGGTATGCAACTCATTCCCGCATGATCCATGACACCATCTTTATAGCGTGGTCTATACTTTCCGAGTGGTGCCATCGCCTGCACTTTGACGTTCTCCAAACGGTTGTTGGTCCGAACGTCAGAGCGGAGCGTCTCGGACTGTTCGTTCACGGCCCAGTTTCGGATGACATACAGACAGTGGGCTGCGCAGTAACTGATGAAACCCGGATCCGTTTGATGCATGCCCCGTCGGAATCTGTTTGGTAGTATTGTGGTAAAAATAAAACAGACAGTACGGCATAGTCCAGGCGAAAAATACGGTGCTATACTTGTCAGCCGTTCGCGAAGGGGTGTTTGTGACCGACAAACACGGATGCGATATGATACGCATGTGGTTTCTGACAGCAGTGTGAGTACGGAAAGTGTCCAACTCAACATCGTAGACGAACGTGGATCTCGCTGCCTGTACATATGCTTCCGTTTTATCCTTGACGAACGACTTACCTCGATTTTGTTTAGCCATCATGTCTCTGGCCAAACCAACCAGTTAGCGAATATGGGCAAACCGTCAGCTTCTCACAAAAGCTTCCACAAATATGTGTCTAGTACTGATCCCATTGTGATCATGGAAATGTACAGCTTTTATCTACTCCGTATTTACTACTTGCTTTACAAATACTCACTAGCGTCGATCGGTAATGTACATCATCAACATTTACTACATACGGGGAGCGTCGGAAAAGTCCTTCATGCTGCCACCTGGAGAAGCGTATGTGGCTGTAGTTATCTTTTCTCGACCGAATTACAAGATGCGCGAAATTTAGCCAGGACAGGAGGTTCATCAACTGCAACGATATAACCAGAACGTTAGCGAACAATCAAAATTTGCACACCACTTGCTGAATCCCTCAGCTAAAAGCTGCTACGACCCACACGGCGGCATTCCAAACTTTCACACTCCTCAACTCCTCTTCGGCCACCTGTGGATTAACAGTCAGTCGTACAAATAATTGTTCGCCGCATGCTTTTGATCAAGATAATAAGAGGTGAGTAGGAAATGTTTCCCGTGTTTTCTTAGACAAAACTGAGCCAGGCAAACGGTACTTCGCGTGCTATTTGGTAATAGCGATCGCACTCGACTTTATAGGTTCTTCATATCCCCTGACATTCCTTTGGACTTGCTGGCCGCCTGGTGCATTTTTAATACACGCACTCGAGTTGCAAAACAGCGCTGATCCTTCTTTCGCCCTTGCACGCACAAATTCCGTATTATCACTCTGTATTCGTCTCTCAAAAGATAAACCTGGGGCTATATCTGAAGCCATGGCAACGCAATTATGACATAGATTGCGCGCTAATAATTAGAGAGGGGATTAATTAAAACCAGTTCCCACAAAATTAGGGCTCATTCAAGTGGTTCATAGCTTGAATATACATAAAAAATGCAAACATTTGGTGTGAAACATTTATTCGAAACCTAAAAGTTTTGGAGAAAAGTGCATCTGTCGGCTTAGGGCATTTTCGCGGCTCTGGAGTGCGGAATTCAGATGTTCCATAATCAGGTAGTGATATGTTCTACAAGCTAAAAATTTATGGCTATCTCCATTCTGATCTGCTCATAGATCTTAAGCAAGTTGAATTTTGTTTTAATCAGTCTTTCTAGGACTGCGTGAAAGCAAATCTTTTCATGTGTATCCGTGCTGGACTTCAATAGAGGTTGGTGCTGTAAACCAACAGATGGAGGTAAAGAACAACTGTAACACTCATCACCTATGTCGAAATGGGTGTGGCTTCTATGGAAGCTCTCAATTCGATGGAATGTGTTCCAAGTGTTACAAAACCTTATCGAACGAATCCATTCGAGGGCCTGAATCGCACCATTCAGCCGGAGTTATCTACGACACCGTGGCAAACACAGGAATCACAGCTGTAGGGCAGGTGAGAGTGGACATAGAAACTGCCTGTTTGTCACCGTTGTGCAAAACCTTTGTACAAATGGTGTAAACCTAAAACTGAAAGCTACTTGGAATATTCGCTAGAACACTCTTTTCGTCAGAGGTACAATAAGCGTGTAATATAATGTGTGAAATATATTACCAGATGGAACTGTCAGGAAAAATTTCAATGTGCGGATTTATACAGTGTATTTCACTTCAGTTGTGCGAGAGCACTAAGTAAAATAGTAGTCGAAATGACCTGTGTCAGGCATACAGTTTAAGTCCACCTGAATGGAGTTATTCTCTGAGAGGAATAGTCTGCGGTCTTTGAAGATATAGATCTTCAGGTCTTGAACACAACCCGAGAACATCGTTTCGAAGGTTTGTTAACCTCATTTAAATAAAAAATGTTTGGCTTTCTTAAAATTTGAAATGGCCTAATATCATATGAGACATTTTCAGTAGTTTTAAATTTTTGACTTATTTAAGCCTGGGATAGGCATTCTTGACGGGTACAGACGAAACTTGAATTTATTTGTGTTTACGTTTAACCATGAACAGTAAGAAAATGTAGTTTTGGCACCATCCCGATGGTCAGGCCCCATATGCAATCCGGTGGTAGATTTTTCGTGTATAACCTGATTTTAATCGGCTAGATGAAAGCTGAAGTGAATCTCCGGACTAACAATGGACAGTTTAACACGTAAAGCTACCTCCAAGTGTCCATGGCATACGAGAACATTTTACGGTTAGGAATGGTAAAGTCATGCGGTTTTAGGTCCACAAATGGTTCAGAATCCGAGATCATCCGAACCCTTGTCGTGGGATTAGGAGTAACAGTTTGGTATGCAGTTTGGGTATGCAATTAGTTGGAGGTGGCATTCTAAAGGTGTTGGCAATTCTCGTTCATTGTGTAGTATAATCCTGAAATTCATGTTGGATACCAACGGGTCGTAAAGAGATTATTTAAGTTTCAAGCAAATCATAAAGAAAACATCCTTGATCATATAAAGGTGCTATTTTGTTTTAACTATACTACAATTTGGATTTCCGATGCAGGCCATGGTTGGATTCACAAAAGCTTTTGTAAGTTGGCTAAATTAATGGCCTTGTTGACTCATGGGAATTAAGAAACGGTGAGACAATTAAGTATTTTCAGCTAAATGCCTAATCAGGAAGACAAAAACTATGGTGTAGCAGTCTGATGGTTGACCTGTGTTTTGTATACACACCATGCTCTGTAGAACTTAATCCGCTGGCTTAAGCAGATATAAAATCCAGCTCTATATTATCCCGTGTGTAACTTCAGGCACTAGGTATCGACAGTGGCCGCATATGCGAAAATGATCAGCCAATGTGTCAAAATCAATCCACCACAACATCAGCAGCAAATCAATTACGTGGGAAAACAAATCAATCCGGGTTTGAGGGTCGATCTATTGTGAGTAACACCAAAGTTGGTCAGAAAAATGTGGTCATTCTTTTTGCGGTTTGCCTGTCTCACGGAACCGCTTCTAAAAGAACCATCTATAACAACCTTAAACTGGGAGGGTGCCATACAAGAGCGAGGACCTTGTCGTGTTTGAAGCTGACCAAAACAAAAAGGCGCCTTTATCACTAAATTCTTCGAGGTGAGCGGTTTGAAAAGCATCATGAAATGAAAGCCGTAAATGAAAACACGTCTAAGAGCCAATTTAACTATCTTCTTAGTACCAAAATAAGCGGTATACTAAAGTCCGCTAACCAAAGTAAAAATATGCCACGAAATCCTTACGTCCCAATAATGTCCTCCAAAAAGACTAACACAAATCCTCAATGTCCAGGCACCTAAACCACCGATCAACACAATGTGAGACCGGTTTCCGCTCTGGTACTGCAACAAATGCACAAAACTCAACGATGACAAACACGTTCGCAGTATATGCTCAGTCCAGTTAGCGGAAAGCCTCAAGATGGGGCAAAACGGCGAACAAACTAACAAAAGTTGGCTTAGGCGCTGTCAGTGCATCTAAATTTTAGGGTCTCAAACGTTTATTCTTTATGGATGTCCTTGTATATAGATCTCTTGCTTGCTGTTACACCCAAGTTCAATTTCAATACAGAAAATATCTTGAATTTTTCAGCCATCGCGAAAAAAATCGTTGCAATGTCATAGTCGTAAAGGAAATCTGACTCATTCTTCGTTAATGCACCTTCACATCTTCCAGGTCTCTTAACAACTACAGATGACAAAACTTCATATAATGGACGGTAACGTTTTAGGAGACTCTACTGGCATTCCAGTTCATACAGCCTTTCCGCAGCCTTCCATTTGGTAATAACAAAGGTCTCCACTTCAGGGCTTTCCACTCTTCTTTCAATAACTTAAGACGAGAAATTATTGACGCTTCTTCATGACAAGACATCTCTCACACTGTTTTATCCCCCTACACTTTCAAAGTCCTATCTTGCTTGTGTGTCCACCTGGTGGCACTGTCTTCGGGGAACCTTAGTTAACCCTTAAGAACTGTGTTTCAGTTTACAACCACGTCGAATGGTCAGCAGGATTTAGGGGCTTCAGAGCATTTGTTTAGACGACACTTTCGTCGTGATGAACCTAAACAAGGCTAGTAAGTTCTACATCTAACTGAAAGAAGTGGGTCCACACATCAAATTTAGAAGGTAGATAGAGCCAACCGTGGGTACACTGCCCTTATTAGACTGCGTGACACGTGATGCCGGGAGGAAACTAAAGACTACAGTGTACGAGAAGCCAACATACACTGGGCAGTTTTGAACCACTTGTCTGCTCATCCGAAGTCGGTGTTCGTCAGTATTGCTCCATCAATGTTCAGGCTTGTAAGGACCCTATGCACAGAAGAGGCCGATCGGACAGTGACCAATCTGAATTAAAGAACAAACTTCGGGTAATGGATATCAAGCTAGCCTGACTAGGCGTCAATCGGGAAGAGTGTTGTGTTGGGCAGCGAAACATAACAGAGACCGATTTTACCATATATATATATATATATATATATATATATAAACCAGGGATGTCGGAGGTCATCTGAAGAATTCCTAATACGGCTAACATAAGTGTAACTTTCCAGGTGAGGAACACTCTGCGCTCTGCACTGGTGAAACTGAAGGATCGCCTCTCGGCAAACAGAACCAGGGATGTATCTAAAAATAAGTGTAATGACTGCATTAAGGTCTATATGGGACAGACGGCCAGGGAACTACACATCAGAGTCGGAGAGCATAGTAGAAAAATAAACAGTAGAAAATAAACAGAAAAATAAATACCAGGTGTTACTGAAAGACTCGGCAGTTTCGGAAAACACACTGGACATGGGACGCAAAGTATATTTGGAAAATGTTGAGGTTTTGAGGCGAGGATTACGGTTTACTTCACAGAAACCGGTAGCCGAGGCGGTAGAAATCGCCAACCATCCCGATGTTAACAGAACAGAAGGCATGGAAGTGGTAGGTGTGTGAAGAACGGTTTTAGGTCAGACGAGCTGACAAATGCCGGTGTGCCGTTATCACAAGGAAGGGTAGTAATCATCTGAATTCCACTCAATCTCACTCATCTTCCCTCCCCCTCAAGTAAATTGTCACAACACTTACAAAGCCACAAATACCAGCGGATTCAGCAGTGGCACCCGCGCTGAATCATCAAATGAAGCACCCTGAGGTGGAAGATCCAGGAGCGGGAGCCGATCGGAACAAAGTTGAAACCCCTCCAACCCATTAATTCAAGATTTTGGCAGCCACACTAGCCAATAAGAGCCGTTAATTTACATTCAACACTAATCTAGTGCGATAATCTGAAGAGGATTAACTGATCGGTTCTTCGTCTAGCTTAAAACCTGGCCAAATTGGCCTGATGAAGCTCTTGTGTCCAACATGAAGCATTGCGTAAATATTAACCACCGATTGTTTGCCAAGCCCTTCTGAAATGGTGTATGATTTTGTTAACTTGGCTGCATCTTTCCAGCAGACTTGACACTCAGTAGTTTACCTAGTATCCGAATATCAAAGAAAAGTTCTGCAACTGATTGACTATGTAACTGTACCCGGATCTGTTACGATCTAGATAATGCTATATCAATGTGCTCTGCCGTTATCACCGCTAAATTGTATCAGAACCAGGACGATGTGCAAGTGACACATTAAAGTACTTAACAGACGTTTTCACTATACTTGTTCAATATCCTTGGGACCTTGTGTTCCAATCCAATCTCCAACGCTGAACTTCTAAGGCGAGCTAGGAATAGGGTGCACTCTGGTGCACTTAGCCACACTGAGGGGGTTGTATATGAAGTCTGCAGCCGTCAACTTCCCGGTATAGGAAATAGGCGAGCAGGTGAAAGATTGATCTGTAACTAGTGGGCGGCCGAAAATTTTCTGGTGGTGTTGTGGTACATAGCTATCTGCTGCATGGTTGTTTGTCTGTTTACCGAGATTTATAGTTAGATTGCAGATGTCTTCTCGTCAACTGAGATGCATCCCCAGCGCGGGATCAAGTGTTTCAACAAGTTATGTTGCAAGTTCTGGCGCATTTGCCAAAAGTTCTCCCTTAACAGAACATTTGTAACACCCTGATACCTCTACGGCTTAAGGACAGATCACCTACAACTGTTTGAGTCATTAGGATTGGTCGTATTTTGTCATGAAGAGCTTAGGTCTTGTGCAACTTGTCAGCGCATGTGATTGAGTAGAATTAAATATGTACTGCACCAATGAAATCATTCTAAACCATTACATGAGCAGAAGCGGTTGGTATAAGGTTAACCTTCTCCCGCTCCTTTTCTGATCTTGCTTGAACTTCTTGACACATTACGAGAAAACAGCTTTGCTAGTCATCTGACTACCGCTATTCTAGCCTCAATAGTACAGCAGTGGGCTGGCATAAAGATGCGTTGTCCTAGTAATCCTGTTCGATTATTCCACTACAACTAGAAAACATTGCTGAATGACTCAAGCGATTGTACCTGACAGCACTGAGGATGACACGTGTCATTATGTAATCACTCGTAGGCCAGTTACTCCACTTTGGTCTACGGCAGATTTACTCAGAAAAAATTATTTCGGTTGCGGAAAAATCCTGTTAGTTCAGCATCAAGCCAAGTAATTAAGGCCAAGTATTTAATATTTCCTCGGTCGTATAACCCTACTCTGAACAGGGTGGCGGCCACGGAAAAAGTTTTGAAAAGTAAAATGTTCTTTGTTGGGACACTTAAAAACCTGGGAAGTGGGTCACTTCAGAGGGGCATATTTTTTGCGGTGAGAATCTGATAGCTCATCCTGGCTAGTCCTTCTGCGTACTTTAGCGATCAATCTGGCCATACGACTGGATACTCACGAAGTATCTACAGAGTCACTGTAGGTTGTTTACTGGAAGGGCGTCTGGCGAACACAACCCCTCAGTCTGAAGGTCGAAACAGATATGGCTTTCAAAAGACTAATTTGAGAGTTCTATCTCAACAAATGCTGCCTCAGAAGCTTCTGAGCCGAACGGTTTGTTTGACAACCCAAACATATCTGGGTTCAGGTGCCATGACAATACCTTGGCCTACTCAATATCACGAATTAGACTAATTAATTAAGTTTTTGCCAATATGTCGTCGTGCAGTGAAACCAGGCATGGTCCTTTAATCATTGCATATAGTAGGAGTGATAAACGATTGCTGATGCCTGCAGTCTTTCTCCGTTGATCTCCCTCGATATTTGTCCCTCCCCATTTAAAGATAACTTTTCAATAGAGACCAAATGTAGTAAATCCGGTTAAACGCCTAAGTAAGCTACCACTTGCACGCCTGCCGGTTTGTCTTCAACTAGCGAAAAACACCTCTCTGTTTTTATCTCAACCCTTATCTTTCGAAATTTTGTGCAATCTGTACAACGCGCCAAAAAATTTACCCAGGACATTCACCGCATTCCTAGAACCCAAGTATAAAGTCGAAATACCGTAACTGAGGTTACAGAATCTTCGCTGTCTAGATGCCATTGACTGTGAACCTCAGCTGAATTTCAGACGCCGCAAATGGCTACGCCGGTTTTCATGTCGCTGTTAACTCTTGTACCGGTACTTGTTCTCCAGCTAAATATCGTGAAAAATTGCCTCTGTGCCGTTCATTCGTTCGATTTCATAAAGACTTGCACCTGGACTAAAAACATCTCTATCATATAGTTTCTTTTTGATTTCTAAACAACCGTAATGCTGAGTCTGTGAAAGGCACTCCTATTCCAGATATAGCCACCTTTTAACCAACCTTTAATAGGGCTGAACCTGCTTTGCAACTATCTGCTGGGTATCAGACGGTCGTCAGACGTACTGGATTTGGTTGCATTAGACACCGTTGTGCTACCTAGTGTCTTCCTACTTCCAAACGCTATGGAGCAAGCTTTCACGTAGCCATCAGAGACAAGTGAACAGGCTTAATCCTAGACTGCCCAACATTCTGGAATGCATGTTGATTTGGACGTTATCTCCGTCCAATATAAGGTTCCACCAGGAGCGAAAATCAGGCATTCGTCTAATTATGTAATGCTTTGATCACGACTTTACGTGGCGTTGTACATTCTTTCCGGCATTTCACGATTTCAAAGTCCCCAGTGAACATGTCAGCCTTTCCACATACAGTTGGCCGAAGAGAAAGGTAATGAAAGTTGTGAATATATTTTGTGCTCTGGGTCCTCACATTTGGTTGCCTGTTACGTTACGTGTTCATTATCATCATTAGCAACATGTTTAGCAACACCAGCACAAAATATTCATGCCTCACCATCCTGTGACCGCAAATATCTATTCAAAAAGAGCCACGCAACGCTGTTCAGGAAAACTGAAGAAGACTGACTGATTTCTATCCTAGAAATCAAGAAACACGATTTCCGGTAAACACGATAGATTGAAACTACTAGTACAAACGCCGCTGATACTGCTTGCATCACAACCGGGCAAAATTATCAGTGAACACAATCCGATGTTACGTTTAAGTGAATGTGGCCGGCAAGCCAGGAAACGAACAACGGATCAATGGATGATTTTAATTTACACCTTTAACTTAGTTTTCATAAGCTGGAATTGGTATCCGGTCGACCCATATAAATTCAAATGAGGCACACTCAATAATTCAAGAATAGCGGAGGGAGAAAATAGGCAAAAGCATCGGGTGATTAGTTACTGGTTCAGCTGTAATAATGCGTCAGGACTTCCAGTACCCTGTCCAAAGTAGAAAAACCATTCCCGATGGAGCGTTTTGTAAGGTGGCCATGTCTACACTCTGCTCATTTTTATTTAGACGTCCACTATAGCGACGTGAGCGTGCCCTATTGATGGGCTTTTTAGGTGATCCTTTTTTAATTAATCACTATCGTTTGACAACCGTTAATAAATTCGCATGAAAAACATGGCCACCGACTTAAAAATTTTAGTGTTTGCTCTCCTCCCTGGAAGAGTTTGTGGTGGTAAGCTTGTGCTTTTTGGTTGGATCCACTGGCATGCACACTTTTATCTGCATAATCCCCTCCTATCATCGCCAAGAGTCTTTGGAAGTTGGCCCAGAAAACCGACCCCCATTTCTATTTTATCTGCTGACAGACCAATGGTTTTCTGCCACATCCAGATGTAACTTCGATTGGAAGAATGAGTGTTAGATGACCCTGCTTTCCAGGGTAGTCATTCTGTATTTAAGCTCATTCAAAATTTACGTAAGACTGTGAATTATTACAATGTGGTACTTCGAGCAAAGCGACCAGTTTTTCGCCAAATATTTCTGTTTTCGAATACCAAATTGACGTGTCTATAATGTAAATTTGTTTTTCATTGTCCTCACTGTGTTATTATCGGTTGGTTTCTCGTCACAAAACGTCTACGTAACGAAAAGTATATATGGTATAATGTTAAGGCGCCCTTCATTGAGCTACCAAAACCGACACGTGTATCAATCACCAGGCCTCTTTTAATTGAATGTATTCGGCAGGATACTCATTCGTTGTTTCTCTGTACTAACCACTAACCACAGATTTTGTATCCCATATCGGTGTACCAATGTTGACGGTTTAAGACGTGGTTGATTTATTATGCTTGCACGAGTAATACAACTGCGTTGTATATAACAGACGCATAATATACAAGATACTGTGGCATAATTCGTTGACGTAGCACACTACTCATGGGCTTGGTGTAAAATCTTTGATAGCCCACTACTGTTTTTGTATCTCTTGGGGTTCATCAGGTAGGCTGTGCCTCCAAGGTTCCTTCTACTATGTTTTCTACCTGAACCCTAGTTGCAAGCACTTCACAGGATAGAATCCATTTGCAAACTAGTTTATTTTTTATTGGGAGATTAAACTGAATACAAGTAAGTGAATAGCAAGAACCAAAGATTCGGTCGGCTCTGATTCATTTGACTCTTCGATTAACACCAAATTAATATGAAAACGAGTTTGGTCCGCGTAGTCGAATATAAAAACTGAGTAGTTTCAGCGCCAACCTTTAGTAATTCCAATTCCGGAACGACCTAGGATCTGCCTGATTACTGTACTGCTTCGAGAACAAATCTATACGTTTCTGTGGACTGGTGTAAACAAAAACACCTTCGGATTTACCTTGCTTAGATTTAAATCAAATTACAATGAATTAATATCAGGTTATGTAAGCATCCAAGTGTTTCCCTGCTATTCAATCTGATTTCTTCTAAATTAACAGTGTGAAGATTTCGAATCATGGTCTTTTGGTTTACGGATACCGAGCAGACTGTGTTCCATTGTTGGCAGTTGATCAAGTGGCCGTTGGTCTGCTCGCCGAGCTTGGTAATTAGCTCGTAAAAGTTTCATCACCAGACGAGGTGACATCACCATTGCGCGTAGCATATACTATTATACACCGTGCTTGCTATATCTATGAGTCATGCCTATGGTGTGCCACTATAGTACATAAATGGTCGGCTGTGGTAAAGATACTATGTACGCTGGAGGGGATATTCAAAACTCTGGCACGTTGGTCATTTGAAATATCCAAAACGTTTTGAGTGAAGCCATTGAATCAGCTTCGATAGTACAGGTATCACAACTGGAACAGACGTGCGCTGAGGCCCTAGAGATCAACGCACAAACGGACTTCACCAACCGTGATGGTGGCGATGGACGTACTGCAAACCTTAGTAGGTATGGCAACCAGATGTCCAGCAGGGATCCGAATAATGACGCATCATAGTCAGCACAACAACAAACGGAGATAAATCCCAATTTAAGTACACACACCATCACGCTTACACACAGACAGAACGAACACCCACCTGCACACACTGGTAGCGTTTGACTATCAACTGATCACATACCAATCAGAGGACAATATAATGGACGATGCTACGCTGTTTTGACTTAAAAATTCCAGATTATACATTACATGGCGCTCAAACCTTTTGACGCTATCCGAGCAGAATTTGGCCCAAAACTCCGAAGTGTTTTGGAACGTACGTTTAAGTCATCAATAATTTCAGTCCTTCCTTCCTAACGTAGTTCACTCTCCCTTGGAAAATGCAAATATCGGTAACGCAAAGGAGTAAGCAGTTACAGAAATACGTTTGTTGGGGAAACGCATTCACACACTCTACGATTATAGTGAAAGAACCGTAAAAAATATTTGCGCATGGAACCTTTACCGTTCACATTTGTCGAACTCAGCAGTTATATTCTGCACAAAGCAGTTCGATACGCGATCCAGGTAAGTGGTGCAAGTACACGATGGATTTACCTAACACTGCGTCCCTGTTAGTCCTTCACTACATGGAGGTGGGGGCGTTTTTGATAGGCGGAAACGCACCGTATTACAGAATCGTATGTCTCCTATTCGTCTACTTTCACATGAATTAACTTTTATTGAAGAACTATCTATACTTTTTTTAGGTTGTAGAAACTTCAGGAAAAACTACAGATCAAAGTGAGTGTTGTTCCGTTCGTCAAAGTAACAAAAGCTGCTCCATGAATTGTTCTTTTTTGCTGTGCCGACAACTCCGCAATGACAGATAGTTTAACTGCGGTCTCGCATTGAGTAAGGTGTCTTACAATTTCATTTGCTACAAGGATGTCTATATTCTGATGCTCGGCATCTGCACCAACAGAATTAAGGCAACATCTCTCCTCAAACAGACATCACTATGAAACGGTTCTACTGACTGTTATTTCAGGGCAGCTCAACAAGTGATTTGAAACCTTAGTTTATTGGTACAAGTTTTACGTTTGCCTTGTTTTGGGTATCCAACCTGTGAAATGCCCCTGAAACTGCACTCGGGTACTGAAGCTGCACTTATCACACTAATTTGCGGTGGTGGTTCTGGTCTAAGACTCGCGCTACTGAGTTGGTTCGGTAAAACCGAGACCAGTGCACATTAACAGTGAATTCTAATGCTACTAGACAACTCATCACTTCTCATTCATCTCCTCACGAACGAGCAGTACTGATAGACAGTAAAACCTTTCCTTGTCGGCAACATTAAATTGGTCTTGGGTTGTCTTCTTCTAATTTCTATGTGATGTAGAGGTTTGTCCAGCTGGAGAGTTAGTTTTCGAACAACCATTTGATCGACCACATTTTGATCCGTTTGTCAGGTGTGCAAGAAAATATGACTGCAGAGGAAACGACGGAGAACTTTGAACTGCAATTCAGCACGTCAGCGAAACCCCCTGATCAGATGCTAGGAGACTCGATTGCAGAAGTGCTCTCTTCAAGTGACAAACTAGATGGGCAGTCTCCCAGCCCGATTCCATCCACTTCTGGACGAAAAAGTAAGGCATTCGAACCCTTTTGTGTCAATGAGCCAACGGTTTGTTGTGGATTCTAGGTGGAAGTTTTGGAAATGCTGCACTGCAACCTCTCCATACAAACCGTGGGGCAAAGGTGCCAGTAACCGTCAGTATTGACAGCAATCTGTCTCGGATGTACCCAACACTAGTTAAAAAGCCTTGTCCTAATCACCATCCTGCGATAGCAACGGGAAAACTCAACATAATTCTATCATGCAGGCCAGATACCGACCTTTCCAACGACAGTTTTGGCCAAATATATCCCTCTTTCTAAACAAAATTCATAATATAGCACAACGGATTTGTTGGAATTTATCTCACCAATCAAAGTTTTGCATCTTCAAAGTCTAGATAGCATATGATACACTGCTCGTGACCTTTTTAGAAGCTATATATATATATATATACCTGTTGTCAAACCTGCCATCCAAAATTTTCTCCCACATGAAAACCCTCGCGACGCGTGCATGAACGGTGACGCTTCCACTGAGAAGTACTCTGAAAGTCGCGGTGGAGTAGCGCCCTTGCTGGACAGTTCTACCATTTTAGCCACACAGACAACCACGGAAATTGTCACGTTTTGTTACATTTATTTGTGACATCAAAGACAGTACAGAAATTGTTACTACTGAGGAATAGCACTACCTTTTATTGTGATGTGCAGGAAGTGAACTGTGTGTTAAATGATGGTCCACATCACACCGTCCCAGACGCGGACAATCAGCATGGTAAAATCATTTACCAATCATCACTCTACAGCTGTGTGTCATCTTACATGCTGAATAATTAGCAATAAATTACATTTAATGCTAAATATCAGTCTTACGTTTTCGGGCAATTATATCAGCCATACATGTCAACATACTTGCTGCTGAATCTAACCTGCATATTTTGCCCACCTCTCCCATTGGCTAGCGCCGAACGCCAGTCGATGTCATGCATGTCACAAGCGAATTGGACTGACAGGTAAATTTCCCAACCACCCTCTCGTGAAATAACATTATCTCGCAGAAAATTCAAGTATGTTTAGCAAACCGAAATTCTTGCATCTCAGGACGCTTCTGTTGCGTGTAGAAAAGTACCCAATTGTTGTGTAATTTGTTCATAGCCACACCACCTCGTTTGAACGACCGTGGTCCCGTTCTGGCGTAATTATTCCGGTGAGTCCACACCAAAGGCGGTAAGCACTGGACTCGAGTTTTACTCTTATTAGAGCTCATCAGCAGTGCATATCCAATGGCCGTGCCGGGATGTGAACCCCGGACATCCGGCGTGCGGGGCGAGCGTGTAATCACTACTCTACCAACGCCCGTTGGACGCATCTGAATTATCACGTCTGAACAGGCGAACGTGTTCACACTTGAGCGATGTGATTGGTGTGACCGACTGGACTTACCATAAGCACCCACCTCCATTCCTCTCGCACAGTGGATTTTACAGTACTCGGGCTTGATAGTGCTTTTTTCCAATTCGACATACTGTGCTGTCGAATTAATCTCCCCGTACCAAATATTCCCAGAGTTATTCACAACAGCATTATAACTGCGGGCACTAGACTGGGGCTGACTAACTGGCCATGTGAAATGGTGGGCATCCTCACAAACGTGCATACGACGACATACAAACAGAAACAGTTGGATCAGAATTTTCGGATGAGCTGAAATCTTAGGGTATATACAGCCAAGTGTGATATGTGTACCGTATATTTAGTACATTCAGGGTCATGGAAAACAAGTCCACTGTTTAACTGACTCCCCACTTCCTCATAACATAGTTTACTCATTAGCCTCAAAAAGATTATTGTGGAAAAAGAATAGGACAGGTAGGGAGTGGAAATGACACCAACCTACTGAAAATTTTCTAAGGTTTGTATACCTCCAAGCACCTAGGTCTGACAGTCTAGCCGGAAACGTATATCGAGCGAACGCTATATGTTACTGTCTCCATGAATGAACTTGACGAATCCTGAGGACTCCATCCCAGGAGATGACTGCATTAACAGCACCCAACTTGTCTCACACGTTGTCTCTCTCCCTCTTGACATTTGAGCTATTCTGCAGCAAGCGTAAAGAAGAACACTTGTCTTGGTAGATGGTGATTCGGTGTTCGCAGCAAATGGTCAAGCCGCTTCAGTTGATGACGGTGAATTTTCTCCGCGACTGAGGTGTCTGCCATACAACCAACAGTCAGTTTGAGTGTACACAAAGCCCACGGACCTGCTTCCAACTTTGGCTTCACATATTTTCTCTCTGTCTCCAACAGGACCTTAAATTTGTGTAACTTAGACGAAACCGTGAGACTCTCCTGCAGAAAACAGCTAGAAGGATGTAAAGTAAGGAGTAGGTAGATAACACTTTGGAAATCCAAGGTTATACCAGCCAAATGGCAGAGATAATTCTATTGCTCATCAAAACGAGGGTGATGTCAACAAATAAGAATTACAAAGTCAACAGTCAGAACCAATAATTTTAGTCCGCCACAGCTTTACATAGTTTAGGCAATGTTTTCTCCAAACGGGAGTCCAAACGGCGTGTGTCATTTTTCAAAGTATAATGGTTCAAATACCTGCACGGCCATTGGATATGCACTGCTGATGAGCTCCTATAAGAGCGAAACTCGAGTCCAGTGCTTTCCTTTGGTGTGGAATCACCGGAATAATTACGCCAGAACAAGAATACGGCCGTTCGAACAAGAGTCGTGTGACTATGAACAATATAGTGGATTACACCATGTATTCTACCCAAGGGTTAAATTAAATTCCATTACAGCTGGACTAGTGCAGTATGAACAGAAAGGTCAGTAAACTATGGCTTCAAAGACGGGAAATAAATAAATTACGCTACGCTAGGTTAATTTTGAGATGCTTCCGAAGCTGATCTGCTTGAAGCAACTTATGTTTTACTACGCGTACCGCTACATGTTGCACCCAAAGTTCGCCAATGGTACTCGTTCTGTGGATTTTCATCCGGACAACCTGAAGTATGGGATGGACATTCCAATATTCTGTAAGCAAGCAACACCCCCTGTTGCCCTTCTGTCACTCGTCTTATGGCATGTCGATGGTCAGCTATTTTAGCCAAGTTCACAGGAGGTAAGGAAGCACCAGAATTCTTACACTCATTTTGGTGTCATTACTCAGGGTGCGAATACCAATACTTACCGGTAATAATCATGCGATGATGATCAGGAAAAACACTTGAGCGAGGTCGACTCGTTTTCGCGTTTATTTTTGATGCTGTTTGAGAGTTCATCCCTACAAGTTAACCAGGCGGTTAGATGACTACAACCGATTTAATCTTAACTGAATAGCCTCTCACGTATACATTATAGTGCTTTTTTCCAATTCGACATACTGTGCTGTCGAATTAATCTCCCCGTACCAAATATTCCCAGAGTTATTCACAACAGCATTATAACTGCGGGCACTAGACTGGGGCTGACTAACTGGCCATGTGAAATGGTGGGCATCCTCACAAACGTGCATACGACGACATACAAACAGAAACAGTTGGATCAGAATTTTCGGATGAGCTGAAATCTTAGGGTATATACAGCCAAGTGTGATATGTGTACCGTATATTTAGTACATTCAGGGTCATGGAAAACAAGTCCACTGTTTAACTGACTCCCCACTTCCTCATAACATAGTTTACTCATTAGCCTCAAAAAGATTATTGTGGAAAAAGAATAGGACAGGTAGGGAGTGGAAATGACACCAACCTACTGAAAATTTTCTAAGGTTTGTATACCTCCAAGCACCTAGGTCTGACAGTCTAGCCGGAAACGTATATCGAGCGAACGCTATATGTTACTGTCTCCATGAATGAACTTGACGAATCCTGAGGACTCCATCCCAGGAGATGACTGCATTAACAGCACCCAACTTGTCTCACACGTTGTCTCTCTCCCTCTTGACATTTGAGCTATTCTGCAGCAAGCGTAAAGAAGAACACTTGTCTTGGTAGATGGTGATTCGGTGTTCGCAGCAAATGGTCAAGCCGCTTCAGTTGATGACGGTGAATTTTCTCCGCGACTGAGGTGTCTGCCATAAAACCAACAGTCAGTTTGAGTGTACACAAAGCCCACGGACCTGCTTCCAACTTTGGCTTCACATATTTTCTCTTTGTCTCCAACAGGACCTTAAATTTTTGTAACTTAGACGAAACCGTGAGACTCTCTTGCAGAAAACAGCTAGAAGGATGTAAAGTAAGGAGTAGGTAGATAACACTTTGGAAATCCAAGGTTATACCAGCCAAATGGCAGAGATAATTCTATTGCTCATCAAAACGAGGGTGATGTCAACAAATAAGAATTACAAAGTCAACAGTCAGAACCAATAATTTTAGTCCGCCACAGCTTTACATAGTTTAGGCAATGTTATCTCCAAACGGGAGTCCAAACGGCGTGTCATTTTTCAAAGTATAATGGTTCAAATACCTGCACGGCCATTGGATATGCACTGCTGATGAGCTCCTATAAGAGCGAAACTCGAGTCCAGTGCTTTCCTTTGGTGTGGAATCACCGGAATAATTACGCCAGAACAAGAATACGGCCGTTCGAACAAGAGTCGTGTGACTATGAACAATATAGTGGATTACACCATGTATCTACCCAAGGGGTTAAATTAAATTCCATTACAGCTGGACTAGTGCAGTATGAACAGAAAGGTCAGTAAACTATGGCTTCAAAGACGGGAAATAAATAAATTACGCTAGGTATGGTTAATTTTGAGATGCTTCCGAAGCTGATCTGCTTGAAGCAACTTATGTTTTACTACGCGTACCGCTACATGTTGCACCCAAAGTTCGCCAATGGTACTCGTTCTGTGGATTTTCATCCGGACAACCTGAAGTATGGGATGGACATTCCAATATTCTGTAAGCAAGCAACACCCCCTGTTGCCCTTCTGTTACTCGTCTTATGGCATGTCGATGGTCAGCTATTTTAGCCAAGTTCACAGGAGGTAAGGAAGCACCAGAATTCTTACACTCATTTTGGTGTCATTACTCAGGGTGCGAATACCAATACTTACCGGTAATAATCATGCGATGATGATCAGGAAAAACACTTGAGCGAGGTCGACTCGTTTTCGCGTTTATTTTCGATGCTGTTTGAGAGTTTCTCCCTACAAGTTAACCAGGCGGTTAGGTAACTACAACCGATTTAGTCTTAGCTTAGCTTCTTAGCTGAAATGCCTCTCACGAATACATTTTTGAGCTTCGGGGTTCTATGTGGTCTCCTTGAAGGTAGTCCGCCGACACCATAGTGTTTCAAATAATCGGATATAAAAGAATGCGATTTCTCGTTCATTGATTGAAAGAATCCCCGTACCAGGAAAAGCATTCACCGTATTATTCTCGGGGTCGTCGTCATTCAGCTGTAACACTCTTCTGGTGCCTAGCTGCCATGCCACCAGAAGGAAGCACGAGGGCTGGGATGTTGCCAGGTTCACCAAGCCTAGACAAGGGAAGTCGAGAAAGTGCAGGGGTCAGGCTCGAACCACACACCTTCCGGTCAGTAAATTCGCGCTCTAACCACTTGAGCCATCTCGCTACTTGTTACAGCCCACGATGTCTTTATCAGCTATATGGAGAACCCCACGACGTGTGGCAGCACCCTACTTGTTACAGTCCACGATGTCCATATCAGCTAGATGGAGAACCCCACGACGTGTGGCAGCACCGTCCATTTGTTTCTGGACTGCACACTCTATTTCATTCGCTTTGTTCAGCTCGTGTGACGATCGCGTCTTCTGTTAAGAACTGGCTCCACTGAGACTCATCTCACACCGATATTATATAAATTGTGCTTCTTTATGCTGAATCTGATTAGAACTTATCCACTTCCAGGTTACAATCCCCTAACTTAATCCATGTATAATTGAAAGGCAATGACTGCCACCTTGTCATTGTAAAATCACGAATTTCTCAAAGAGAAAATCAATATTTCTAGGTCACCTCTAGTGTTTTGGCCGTCCACCTTTATTCTTTTCTTTACAATAAGACTTTTAAATAAATCATGGTTGTACGACAGTGAAGCATCGGTGGTGAACACTGATGTCATGCTGTCAATGATGATGATGATGATGATGATGATGATGATGATGATGATGATGATGACTGGTGTCTTGTCAACAAGCAACGTTTGGATATTGCAGAGATCAGTCTTGAGTGACAGAAGTCATTTCCATGATACTGTTGTTAGCTTCTTAGGAGAATCCCATCGATTTCCGAAAAAGCTTAATATTCAGTTACTGGGCGTCGGGTCTAAAAGTGAGATTAAGTTGGATGTAATCAGTCACAAAATTTGTGCCAGTCTGCCTGGTTTATTCCTTGTGGCAGAAGTGTAGTTTCACTCAGTCTGTCTTGTAAGATTTTTAGAATATATCAACTGAATTTTGACTAGTCTTCTTCTAGTGATCTATTTTTTGCATTTTTAGGTCTTCAGTGTCGATGTGGGTTCACATTTTGTGGTTATCATCGATATACTGACCGACATGACTGTACGTTCAACTATCAAGAACAAGGACAAAACGACATACGGCGAGCAAATCCAGAAGTGAAAGGGGAGAAGATCAGGAAGCTGTAATACTGCGTGGATGGATTCAGTTCTCTGAGAAGTTGCTATTTGTAATTAATTTATCGTCACTTTTATTTTAATAAATCATTACTTTGAAATAAGTCTGTTCCTGTACTTCAACATCATGGGAGTGCCAGCTTTGAATAATTGGACGATCTTAGGCTTCAGGAAAGTCTGAAAATTTGGGGTATATCTGGTATTCTTCAGCATACTTGATACAGCACTCACTCTGTTCGTTTAACATGCCATTCGAAAGCATCGGAACATTTTATTCATGTTATTGCTCAGTTTATGGTTACTGTCGGGAGAATGCATAAATAAAGCAGTCATATAGTCCTTACTTTGCTTTTGCAAGTACTCAGGGCTAGGTAGTTAACAGACAGCCTCGAAAATTATCCCTTTTTTGCAGGTTACACATGCCACCTGAACTGAAGAAAACTCAAATGTCGAAGACACAAAGGATTCAGCAACGCTTCCAGGCTAACGAAGCCCATGGTAGTGGCTCACTTGTTCACCGTCAAGTTATGTGAAATCTAACTCTAAAGGTGACTTCCAATGGTTGTAGAAAACTTATTATCGAATTTGAATGAAGATTTTAACCTTGGAGAAAGATTGTGCTGACGCTACTGGCCATGACTGCCATCTTTATTTAACTTTTCATCTATAATGCAAGTCAGTTTATGTGTAGAGATTTCACGGCCTCGGAGGTTTACGACTGCATATGTTGGGAAAAGAGTCTGTCCCAGACAACTGGGGAGAATCGGTGATAGTGCCCATTTTCAAAAAAAGGGGCGCGTAGTAAGTGTGGTAACCAACGGGGGATCAGCCTGACCCCGGTTGTAACGAGACTGTTGGCGTCAATTGTGTTTCGTCGCCTTACGGTGGCTCGTGAGATGCTGACTCGAG